ACGCCTGTGTAACAGGACTGCCTACCTACCAGGCGCTCCGGCGGCACAGCGGCTGATAGGCAGGCCCGCGGTGCACGCCTGTGTAACGGGACTGCGTACCGGCCAGGCGCTCCGGAGTAGGCAAGCCCACGGTGCACGCCTGTGTAACGGGACTGCCTACCGGCCAGGCGCTCTGGCGGGACGGTGGCGGCGGCGTGTTTGCCGTGCAGTGTAGGCACATTACGGCGAGGGAGATGTCTAAAACACTGCTATAAAGCCGTGTGCGTGGGCGCGCGGCGGGTGTGGCGGGGCGGGGCCGGTGTGCAAATCATCTCGAGGAATGAAGGTGTGGAGTCTCGGCTCCGGCCGGCCCGGCCCGGGGTTGGGCTGGGCTCGGCGTGAAGGACACTGGGGCTTATGTGGGTCCGGTCCAACTGGTATGGGTGCTGACAGTTCCACTCACACACACACACACACACACGTACGCTCATTCATTTTCATACGCTCCAAGGACAACAAGAAGCAAATTTCTCATTCCGACCCCAGATCCCACACACAGCGCTCGTGTTGGAGTGCGGCTCTGCGCCATCCGGCTCAGGGCCCGGGCTGCGCAGTTTTTGCCTCGCTGGCTGGCCCCGTTGTCGACACATTTGTCGCCGTGCTCCACCATCGCCGCGAAGACGGCGGCGCACCCGACTGCGGTCGCAAGTGAATAATATAAGTAGAGGCAAAGAAGAAGTTGGTGCGCGCTGCACAGTGCTGCGCTGTGTATCGCCGATCTACCCACATGCATCACAGGCAGCGGCAGTAACAATAGGCCTCCCCCTTGCACCCCCCTCCTCTCCAGTCCAAGACTCCAAGACCCCCTCGCCCCCCGGCCCGCTCAGGCTTAGCCAAGTCCTATGGTCGGTCCGCTTCTACTTTGCCTCGGCCGGCGCGCTCTCGAGAACTTCATTTCGCTGTGCAGCGTTCATAAGAATGTGGGCATTATTGGAAACCCTAGCCGAGCTGCCGAGCTGAGCCGAGTCGGGCCCGAGCGAGCCGGCCAACAACTGGGGAAATGAAACCAATGAAACTCTGCAGCGCGCCCCCGCATAGCCTCTCCCCCCACCCCCTCTCCACCCCGCTCACGGTCTTCTCATTATGCCGTATCGCTTTTGCTTTCCCTGCTGCCGCCGCCGCCGCCGCGCCGCCCGCCTCTCCAGGAGAGCGGCCTGGACTTAACTCAACCTAAATGAGGGATATCTTGAAGAGGGAATCTAATCCTGGCGAGTGTCGCATCGGGGCTGGGCTCTCTTCTTCTCCTCGCTCCTCCTCTTACGACCGGCGGACGGGCTGACCGCGGGATTCGGAACCTCATAGTCGGGTTATGTCCTCGACTACGACGACGACGACGAGGAGGTGGAGGTGGTTGTCATGCATGCGCTGCCCACTCTTATTAGTGGCGGGGGGGGGGGGGGGGCACGTCGTTAGGAGGCCCATTCTCTTCCCGAGCCGACGCTAGCTCGCTCGCACTCACGCACACGAGTACAACTGATCACATTTTCCAGATTTGGATCGGCAGATCGTGTAATGCCGACTGGGATAGATAGATGGATGGCCTCGCAGATGGAGCGAGGCGATACGGAGCGCTACCGCGGCCGCCGCGGCGGGTGGTGGCCGAGCGGGGGGACGGGAGGGGACGACGGGAAACACAAGGAAAAGGATGAGGGAAATAACGAGAAAGTATCGTCGGAGAGGTTCGGCTTCGGTCGTCCCGCTGTAATGGACATCACCTCATTTCGTATTCAATATCGGCTTATCTCCATCCGCCACGACACAGGCGGGCACACTCACACACACGCATACACACGCTCACTCGCACACCACCTTCCAAATGACAATGTCACAATTACACGGGGAAAGGATGTGCGTGGGACTGAATGTGAGTGCGCCACCATCCCATCCATTGGTATCACCGCATGCGTGTCGTACCTCCGCCTGCCGGCCGAATCGTGGCCCGCCCGCCCCGCC